CATATTTACATTCTGTGTTTGTCTATGTACCCCCTTGATCAGGCCCTGCCATGGTCCAGATCCGGAGGGTGCATAGAGGGACACCTGACTGTATAACCTCAAAAAATGCAGCCTGATTAATACGTTTTTTAATAACAAACCCCACCCTCCCCATCCAATACCACCCTATCTCAACCGCCTTTCTACTCAGTCCCTTACCAACCTTTTTGTGATGTATACTGTTTCCATTTATCAAGTACAATGGCATGATCTATCTTGACTGATGCAGTGGCCATCAATGACAACAGCAACCAAGCTGCCTAATAATTAAAAACAGAGACAGAAAAACTAAATATTAAAGAATCGAAACTAACCGCCTTACCTTGCGAGCACAACTTTTGCCTACAACCATCGCATGCAAACCTGCGTAAGTCATCCTTACAACATGGCTACAACTGTTGTAGGGATTTAAAAACAATTGCTTAATAGTCTCACGACAGTTGTAGCCATGTTGTAAGGATGACTTACGCATGTTGCATGCGATGGTTGAAGGCAAAAGTTGTGTCGCCTAATGCGGCCTTTAAAGGCCCTTCATTCGATTTCCTCGCAAAACATGTTATCATTGACTTGGTTCTTGATATTATTTATCTCTTATTTTTATGCTTCTACTGCTCATAAAACAGGGGATTAAAGCCTCTGAACCTTTCTGCATTTTTCTCACAGATGAACATTTGTCATCTTTGATTTTGAACCAATCAGAAAGTAACTGGGGGAACATTGTAAAACAAAAGAAGCGCTCGCAAAGGTTCTTGGATGCACCTTTAATAGCCCTATTTCATTATGAAGTCATAGTATGTTTACATCGGAAAACGATGCCCAAAACAGTGAAAATTTGAACGCATTTATTCAAAAATTGGCGCGAAATGTCACAGTCGCCGACCAGGGCACTGGAGACGAATCACTAAAACGAGGCCTCAAAAGCCAGAACCCGTATAGTGTCTTGCAGGTTAGCCTCAACTCGGAGAAAATGCAAATTGCTAGGACTATTGTATTAACAACATTTTCGCGTTGTTTCTTTCGTTTCTGGTAAGGTTTGCGCAAGAGAATCTGTTGTCATATGAAACAGCGGTTATCCGCTTTGAACTTGAAAATAGAGTACAGTTAAACCTCTATTAAGCGGTCAGTCCGGAGAAAAACCAAGTGACCGTACAATAGAGGTTGACCGTTTAATAGAGGTTAAGTTGACAGAAGATATACATGACATACGAGTTTCGGGAAACTGTTCGGTGACCGCTTAATGGAAGGTGGCCGTTAAATATGGGGTCGTTTAATAGAGGTTCCACTGTATACCTTGTTGTTACTGCTGTTGATATGTGATGATAGGCTCTTAATGAGCGTGGCGTTCAGTTTTCCTTGTTTAGACCAGTAGTTGCAGGCATTCTGAAGATACCTCCTAAATGAAGAAAAAAACAATCAAACAAAATATTAACCGAACTGAAAATCTCGTCATTCTCTTACCACGGGGTTCGTGCAACATTACACATAAATCCAGGACTTTCCAAGGAATTTTTAAGCACAAGAATGCGATTTTCCCAACAGTAAGTGTGCGAGTTAGTAAGTGTGCGAGTTAGCAAGTGTACAAGTAAGCAAGTGTAAGGATTAGCAAGTGGGCGAGATTGCAAATATACGAGTTAGCAAGTGTACGAGTCAGCAAGTGTACGAGTTAACGAGTGTCTGGTGGACGTTGTTTCAAGAGTCATCATGATGTATTGTCCCTTCAGTTACCTGATTTCTTGGCCGTTAGGACTGGCGACTATCTGTAGAAGACTCCATGCAAGGGTATGTGGTTCTGCTATAGATCTATGTAATGGGACTATCTTACTAAGTATGATTTCTTCTATTGTGCAGTAACACTTCTCCTGTGCTGTAGTCTCACGGTCAAGTACAAGGGGAAGAATTCCATCCAACCATAAACTGATAAATAAATAGAGGATATTGTATGGGCGCGCGGAGATACGGATTTTATCTTCGAGTGTTGAAAAGATCTCTCACGAGTGAGCGTAGCGATTTTCAACACGAGAAGATAAAATTCGTATCTCAAAGCGACCATGTAATATTCTGTTTATCATATAATTAACTATGAAAGCAAATTATGTCGGAAAATATCTTTTTTCTTACTTCCACTATATAGAAAAACCTCGAATGTGTTATTTTGACTAGTGAAAATATCAATTTTACGTAAAATAGGTATTTCATAGATAATTATATGATAAATAGAGGATATTGCATGGGCGCGCGGAGATACGGAATTTCTCTTCTAGTGTTCAAAAGATCTGAGATTTTTAACACGAGAAGATAAAATTCGTATCTCCAAACTACTATGTGATATTCTGTTTATCATATAATTACATATGAAAGTAAATTATGTCGTAAAATACCTTTTTTACTTCCACTATATAGTGAAANTTGAATATATCCGATAGGTTTCGCATCTTAAATAAAACAAGAGCCAAAATGGCTTCACGCTCGGGGCCTTTTTACAAAAAAATTATCAGTGACTGCATGTGAATCAGAGATGGTCCGAATAGAACTAATAATTTCTTTATACATTATACACTTGAATTACGTTAGTCGAGATTTGTAGATGGGAGAGCAGCCACTTGAATTACGTTAATCGAGATTTGTAGATGTTTCATAAATTCATAACAAATTTCATCTAGAACCGCCCCTGTATTGATCGGAGAGCTGTAAATCGACAAGAAGTCGGAAAGTCGTCGGGATTCTAATTGTTCACGGGAGATATTTTGTGATCTTATGTAAAATGTTTAAAACTCATATATCAAAGTCTTTACTCTGTTTTCTGATCGTTTCGTTCTCATTATGTAATTCAATAGACCAGCTTAGGATTTTGTAGCGTACGGTAAAAATAGCAGACCTCTAGTACTGGTAACAGACACCATTTTGTAAATAAGCTGATGAACCAGGATGTTAAAATATAGTTACTATGATTAAAAACACCAGGGTTAAAACAGCTATGAGCTGTAATTAAACTATGGCTTAAATTGACAGGGCTATACTACTTGCAATAATGAAAAAAAGRAATGTATGAAAATTAATATACGCTGCAGATGGCTACTGATGTACAACAGTGGATTAATTTTGCATATTAGAAACTACTGTATTTCTAACAATTAGACCACGAGTCTGAGTTCACTATAGGCTCAGTCTCCAGCCGTCGGGATTTCGTGCGCCCGCGACACTCTCTCCCCTGACGGCTGGGCGCATGAGGTTCGCTATTGTCAGTCTTGACCAATCAGCGAGTGGCCCCCGATATTTTGAGGGGCATATCATTAATAGATTAGCAGGCAGCAGTGTAACAAAATGGCGCACAATTCGTCGTTTGAGATTCTCTTTGAAAGTGCTTGTTTGAAGGCTCTGAAGTCGTTTAGCTTGGACGAATTTAGAGAAATACAGCAAAAGGCTCTTAAAGAGATTGTTCTTGGAAAAGATGTCCTTGTTATTCTTCCTATACTGGCTCGGGCAAATCTCTTATTTTTCAAACAGCGCCACTAGTGTATTTTGCTCGTTTTTCTGGCAGATAATACATCCATTTGGATTATTAAACCCTGCACATGTTTTACTTGGGGGTAATTTCCATTCCTTTCTCTTTTTTAAAGCGCTAACTATTACATTATATCGCTACTTCGCGAAGTTTTCATTTCACATAATTTCCCGCCTTGTAGCAAAACCTTTACGGCTGTTGTCAGATATTTCACTTCCGTTCACTGAAAAATTCACTTCCGTTACGTCATAATATGCTAATTACACAAAAACGTCACGGACATGCGCGACACGTTTCGAACCCCATGCGCCCAGCCGTCAGGGGAGAGAGTATCGCGGGCGCACGAAATCCCGACGGCTGGAGACTGAGCCTAAGTTCACTATGGTTTGATAGTACTCGACCAAAGTCCACTATTATCCTGAAATTTTTTTAATGAACTCGAATAAACAATGACATAAGTCACAAACTGGACAACGCAAAAAATAGTACTTTACTTCTTAAATTTATTTTTNGGTAAATTGCTGACAGGTCTATAATTCTTATGAATAGGATCAAGACCCTGTTTCTTTAGTAAAGGTCTTACCAGCGCCATCTTCCAGTTTTCTGGAACAACTCCTTCTTGAAATGACAAATTAATCATAGTGGTAATAACTGGAACCAGCTCAGGAGAACACAGCTTTAGTAACCACGTTGGGATCGGATCCAGCTTGCAGCTCGCATTGGACATGCCCATAATAATTTTAGACACTTCTTCTTCATCTAGAGTAGCAAGCCTCTCTAATGATACCTGAGAACTAGGATAGTCGACTACTGGTGGCTCAACGACAATTTCGTCAATGTCTCTTTTAATAAGCTCAATCTTCCGGTAAAAGAAATCTCCAAAGTCATCAGCTAGTATACGAGGATCGTCATGAGGCGGAAGTGGATTACTATCAGGCTTATTAGACAAGGAGCGGACCACAAGAAACAATTTCCTTGTGTTAYCACCACATTCATCGATTAAATCAGAATAATATTTTCGCTTAGATTCCCTCAGTAACATAGAGTAGCTGTTGCACGCAAGTCGATAAGCATTCTTATCGGCCTGAGTTTTAGTTCTTAACATTTTCCTCTCAAGTCGCCGACGGGAAGCCTTGTGTTCTTTAAGCTCCGGACTGAACCATGGCACTCTAGGTCTGATAGTTAGAACTTTGGTATTGATTGGTGCGTGTTTATTCAAAATTTGCAATAAGGTCTTATCATAGCATTGTGACAAACTTTGAAGACTTGACCACTCTGAATTGGAAAGAGCAGATGACGCAATGTCAGATCTAAAGCTATTCACATCAATTTGTTTGAGCTTTCTATAAGTGACTTCCTTAAACATGATGTTGGGACGAGGAATGGACAAATAGCATTCAACAAAACAGTGATCAGAGATGAAGTAGGACGACTCWGGAGAGAAAACGTTGATRTCATTTGATGATCGCGAGATGACAAGATCAAGTATATGACCAGACACATGAGTAGGTTCAATAACATGCTGTTGGAGACCAAACGTATCCAAAAGTTCCAAGAACTTCTTAGCATCAGCATCAGAGTCGTCATCAAGATGGAAGTTAAAATCTCCAGTAATGAGTAGAATTTCAGGACACAAAACTATGGTTTCAAGGAAGGAAGAGAACTCTTGAAAAAACACACTAGCAGTAACAGGATGCGCTTCAGAATAAGGAGGTCGGTAGATGATGATAATCTTGACAGTACGGCCATGCGCAGATAACGTCCACTCGGAGAACTCAAAAGAGCGCTTCTCCCCGCCATTGGTCAAAGCAAGGTTGAAATTGCTATTAAAGAACACACCAGTACCACCTCCAGAGCGAGATGATGGTCTAGGGAAGTTGATAAACGAGTAGCCAGYCGGACTTAAAGCAGCGATACTAACAGAGTCTTTATCAGTCAGCCAGGTCTCAGTCACAGCACAGACTTCAATTCCGTTATCAAGAACATGATCTATAAATTCGGAAGTTTTGTACCTAATAGATCTTGTATTGACATTTCCAAAACGAAGCTGCTTTCTTGGAGTAAGAGAAGATAACTTAGCAAACGAACGAAGATTAGCAATGTTTCTGTAGGGAAAATCCCGCATGTGAMCACGCTTGGGTAAATTATCCGTAGAGGAGGTGTGAACTTGAATATTTAATGGTCCTCTTGAAGAATTATGCAAATGCACTTCATCAAATGCCATACWAGAAAATGATGAATTTCTCGAGTCCAAATAATTTTGAAAGGCCAAAGGTCTTCTAGGCTGAACAACATCGAACTTATATATTCCACTTAGTTTGCGTCTACCTCCACGGCAACCCCTACGTGTTGGAGTAACTCTTGAAATACCATGTCCAGTCAGGCATACCCACAATTTAGGACAACATTTAGCTGGAATATTCGATGAAATAGCTTTTAAAAATGCTCTAGAGTAGACAAGAGCCATAATAGCGTAAAAGAAAAAAACTATTCCAGATAAAATAACACACAAAAAGAAACTGAACAAATAATAAAAGAGAAAAAATATCAGAGCGGTAGTAAGTGCTGCCTGCTAGGCGCTCAACCGTACGATTAGACATTTTGATTTAGAATACACTTGTAATAATATTGCTGACCAATCAACTATATCAATCCTAAAATACACGAAATCGTTCTTACAGTATTGTCATATATCAATTAATTATCTTTTCTAATACATCATATTACTATTTTATAACTCATAATTTGAATATGTTTATGAGTTAGTCTATAATCTATTGCCAGGATTATCTTAGTCTTCAACCCTTATACTTTCTTATTGTTTCTTAACAATTTAGTAAGCAGCTGGTTGTGGACATACAGGGTCTGTCAGTTCAATAAGACACTAACATGAGTTTAATCCATGGACCTTGCATGTTATAGTTCACGACTGAGTGTTCACTTAAAATCATTAGTGAAGAAATATCATGATTTTTAAGTTTTTGGTAGATTTGATTTAAAGCAGTTTTTCACAAACCCAACAAAATCCGCTTTAACGTGCTTCAATATGTTGCTCTTAATGTGCAGTGTTTCTTTCTCTTTTCGGTGCATTACTTTGCATTGTTCTTTCTTATTCTTTGTTTCTATTTTTCTTGTCTTTAATTCAGTTCGTCCATTTCTATCATTTCCCCTCCACCTGGTCTTTCCTGCCTCATGTTAGCATCACATCGACAGCAACACTTGGGTATCAGAGCTTTGATATTCTCACGGTAAATATCATTGAAGATGAGGTAGATGAAGAAGTTATACACGAGACTGAGGTATAAAATGAAAAGTGAGGCATGCTCAAAATTATTATATGATGAGACCGAGAGATGGCCCAACTTTCCTTGATAAAGCCACATGACAAAAGTGAACCAAAACCCGCGACAAAGATAAAGCAAAACCACAATTGTCACAGCATGTTTTAACACTTTTTTATTCTGCTGCTTTCTTCTTCGTTGTTCTGATGTTAACAATCCTGGTACTTGACGATGATAAAGTTTGCAGATGGTGAGAGTGTAGGTGATTGTCATGAACAGCACTGGCAAAATACTGGCCAAACCTTGCGATGTATAATAGTAAGAAAAGAATGATGACTTGTCCTTGTTAGACACAGTACAATACAATGCGTTGCCAAATTGAAGTGTGGTGAAAAAGTGCAAGCTTGGCGAACAGATTACGGCTGCAACAATCCAAATTACTACAATGACCTTTTTCATCTTGTCCTCGAAAGGTCTCTTGAATGGATAGGCTACGGCAAAATACCGGTCAATGGCAATGCCAACACAGCTATAAGTAGAAACAACGAAAGACATGTCTAYTGYAAWTGGAGYTAGCTTGCACAGTGCATTACCAATGACCCCACCAATCAGCCATTGGTTGTCAAAGTTTATCATTACTATGTTGCTTGGAAACGCAAAGAGAGCTGCAATAAGATCACTGACCGCCATGTTGACTATTAAGTAATTTGTGGTACTCCTTAATCGATTGTCCCTAAAGACTATCCACACTATAAGGA